GAAGATTCTAAAGCCATTTGGCATGCTCAATAGATCTATAGGTTGATAAACGTGATGTGTGTATGTGCATGTGTGATGGGGGTGAGGGACTGAGGGGAAAGAGACGAGGCAGAGGCTATGTGAAATGGGTTTGATAGCCAGTACTTGGCCAGTAAGGCATACCACAAACATGATATGGCTGGGCACCTAAGGGTTTCAAATCCATCATATGCTGAAATAATGCAGTTATAAAAAACCCAAAACAAAAAACAGACATTTTGAAATTAATTTCATCTCATTACTTTATAAAAATATTATAATAAAGGAATTGCTTCAACCAGGCCTGGCTGTTTTGGCCAGATCCTATTCCACCTATTTAGAATTTAGATGTCTAAGGATCCTATTCTATGCTGCTCAAGTCCCTGGAAGCAGGGCTGTCCCTAGGGAGTGGGGAGGTAAATTGGGGCAACTGCACCCGACCCTGCCTTTTGGGGGGCCCCACGGAGTTGGGCAGAGTGGCTGCAGCCAGTCCGCACTGTCGCTGGCTTCACATCCAACCACTTGGCACCCCCAGCCTTGCCACCGAATCCACCACTGGCTTCCTCACGTCCAGGGGCAGGGCCCCTCACAGGCCGATTTGTCCTGGGCCCCACAGCCTGCTCAGGTCATCTCTTCCTGGAAGACAGTAATGCAGGAGGTAGATGGGACATCAGCCTCCTGCTTACTGCTTTGTGTCTTAGTATTAAGGCTAAGATGGAGAGTCAAAGTAGTATGTGGGTTAACAATTTTTCAGGTATTTGAGCTATTACAGAGAAGCATACTACATGAAGTGACTGGCTAACCGGAGTTTGGCAAACTATATGGAGTAAAGAATGAACTTGTGAGAATCCTATACCCATCCCATGAACTGCATTAGTCTGGAAGTCTCACGTTCTTTCTATAGCCTTCTTTTACCATTGTTCTTTACCCTGTCCTCCCTAAAAAAAAAAGAAAAAAAAAAAAAGCAACCCCTTCTTCAAAATCCTACCACCGTGCTGGGGTTCTTTACTACAATGCCTAGGCCTTAGCCAGACATGGAAGTCTTCTCCCATTTCCCAGATAACCTCTACTTACTAAGAAGGTAAACTATGTTGACCTACCACTTGAAGGGTCAAAATAGTAATGAAAATATTTTCAGCAGACTGAACAGCCCTTATGGACATTCTGCTATGAAGCAGCTGAAAGCTATATGCATAAAGCAGGGGTAGGCAATGGTTTTTTTGGCCGGAATGCTGAAAAACACCACAATGCCTACCTTAGAAGGTGCCGGGATGCCAGCATGCCAGAAAAACAAGATGAGGGCAGGGGGTAACATGGCAGGATGCCCTGCTTGTGCCCCTTGCCCACCACCCAGCCCTGCTGCCCTTGTCCCCCACCCAAAGCCCCTGCCCCCTGGCCCTGCTCCCCAGCCCTGCTGCCCTGTGCCCCTCCCCCAAAGCCCCTGCCCCCCAGCCTGGGCTCTGTGGCTGTCAGCAGCAGAGATGGGTAGCTGCTGAAGCCCAGGCTGCCCCCAGCAGGGCTTTGCAGCATCCCAGCTGCCTGCTTGGAGCAGCTCGGGCTCCCAGCTGGCAGTAGTTACACAGAGCCAGAGCTGGCTACAGCCAGGAGGCTGCAAATAGCTGTGCTGGGCTCCGGAGCCCTGGCATTAGCTCTGTACCGGCGTGTGCGCCTTGAAGCAGGCAGTGGGGGAGGAGCCTGATGCAGCACAACCCCAGTCTCTCCCCTGCTTCCAGCACGGAGCTGGTGACTGGGCTCCAGAGCCCAGCGCAGCCGTTTGTAGTCAGCCCGGGCTCTGGGCAGCT